AAGCTATTGAGCATGAATGGAGACGTTTCTGTGTGGCTAGAACCTTATCGGCATTATAGGTGCGCAGAATACAAGCTCTATCCCTTAGACTTACGGGGTTCTCGAATATTTGTTGGGCGAGATGGCCCAAGTGGGTAGAGCGCGGGACTTTACTGACCGGAAGGTGCGTGGTTCGGACCTGATCTCTGCCTCTCGACTTCCCCTGTCTAGACTTGGGCAACCTAGAAGTCTCGCAGCCCTCGTGCAACCTTCGGGTGGTATGGCACCGAAAGGGTGCTACAGCCGAAAGATTACTATTTTCTATTAATTATCGAATATCCGTTGTGGCCTCGCTGTTGACACATTCTCAAAAATAGGTGTGGTTAGCATGTGCTCAGTCCGTGTTCGGGTTAGGCGTGTAGTCAATGCGGGGGACGGGGTATCCTGCCTTTCGTGTTGTGCGGTATAGTACTACATACGGATGAACCAAAATGATAGCTTTTATTCAGAGGTTACTTGCAGTATAGATGGTGCTCTTGGTACGAGTTTCACTGAGCTGAAAGCGGCTCTGCTTGATTGACCATATTATGGCAGGTACATTCGTTTTCTGCAAAGCCGTAGAAGGCTATAAGATGCTCTTTTTAGTTGGAAGAAACTCCTTTACTTTTTAAGCCGCCGAACCGTTTGGAGATTCGTACAAATGGTCGCACACGACGTGAATCTTTCAATCTGACGAACTTTCTTCGAAGGCAGTCTGAAGGCCATTTGGAGGCAGTGACAGAGGTCACAGAATATAGTGATTTGCAATCCTGATTTTTTAAGTAAATTACTCACATATGAATACTTCTTTCTGGTATGGCGTCAGCGCCCACTGTATCAAACTGTGGAAAGATTCGAACCCAAGATCTCTGGGTTAATATGCTGTTCGCCAGGAAGACTAATAGACAGTCACTCAGTTCCAACCTGAGCATCTAGTATTGGCTGTACACTGGTTCCCTACCAGTCAGCACAAACCGGCTACACTTACAACAGCTAACGAATTTGTACTCGCGTTGCTGCAAGTTTTTCCCCAATCAGAGTCTACTGGTGTAAAGAGGGTAGCCCTTCGCTGAGAATGCGTCCATTACCAAGCACCAACTAAACAAGGAAGTAAACATCTTATATGCGTCGTTTTTTTTAAAAAAAATTGAACATCCTCACGTGTCTTGTTGAACTTTTATCGATATTCATTGACTTTTACGAACTCTGCAAAGCAGTTTCACAAGTTTCGTAACAAACCTCACCTTTCATTAAACGTGAGACGAGGTTACAAGTAAAACACCTATTACTCGCACACCTCATCAGTAGTATCCACCGTTACACTAGTAGTCTGTGGGGTCCGAACTCGTGGAAGCATGTTACCACTATCACATCCACTGCTTACGGGGGCACAGAAGTACACTCGTAAATGATATGAATACCAATGCAGATATATTCATTTTGTTTCTTCTTTCATTAACAACAAAAAACAACTCGAAAACGAAAATTTCAATTTGCGCAAAATAAGAACTTCACATCTCACAAAGGAAACTACTCACAAGGTTGCTGAAAACTCTTCGCCAGTCCATGACCGGTTTCGCCCTTCCACTTTGGACTCATCAGGTAGGCGCAGTCCCCCGTCAACCTCATGTTCTGCTAGAACCCAAATTGTACTGTTTTCGAGAAATACACTCAGTTGCAAATCAATTTGGTTTTCACGAGAGACTCAACTGAATCTCTCGTTTATGATATTCTACAACTGAATCTGCTGCACACAGGCAGCCTCATGGTTCAGTTGGCACGATATTCGAGATATCGCAGTATATTTTCATAAAGGAATTCTTATTTGTTTGTCTGTCCGCCACCAGTCATTATGATCCTTGGGCAACATACGAACACTGTGTCCATAACTAGCGTTCTCCTCTTCAGATATTGGTTTTTGAAATCAGGGAA